ATACGTAAATCAATTTACAGATAAATATAAAAAATTAATTAGATCTATATATTATAATATAATTTAAGAATACAATCGAATACAATTTATATATACTATCATATACTATATACATAATCTATTTGTACAAGGTTGTTTATTTTAAATATACAGTACATTTATATTACATAAATTTTTAACAAATTAAGTCGAATAAAATGTTTATACAATTTACTTTATTATTTTTATGATAATAAGAAAATATTTAAATTTTTTGTAATTTATGTTTTATTACATTTTGTATTTACATTGACATATAACTTTTTACAATAGGCTAGAAGATAACATTAGAAGACAAAATGTTTTGCATTTCAATTTACAAAAGATCTCCTTTGACATATAGATTCCTATCCAAATATTTATTATGCCCGTCTTTTTCCACATTAAATAAACAATTACAACAAATTCCTTTCAAGACTGGGTGCAACAAAATCATAACACAATATCTGAAATTACTTGCAACGGAAATAGATTCCCAAGATCTAACGTGTATACTTTTATGGGATGAATTAGCTATTCAGCCTGCTGTTTATTACGACAAAAAAACAGATAGAATCATAGGTTTCGAAGATTGGGGTAATAGAAGGACAAGAAAATTCGCCGATCACTCCATTGTTTTCTACATTAGATGTTTGGCATCAGGCAATCACATGCCACTTGGTTATGGTTACTGTTGTGGAACAACCATTACGATGCAATTATCGAAATGTATAAAAGAATGGTTAACATTATTAATTGAATGCGGTTTTAAACCGGTTGCGACAGTTTGCGATCAAGGTGCCACAAATATTGCAGCAATCAATTTTTTAATTAAAGAAACACAATCTGTGTTACATATACGTGAGTAATTATAATGTATGTTTATCTTTGATAAATAAGTAAATTTACGTTGCAATAAATTTATATGCATACATTTAGTATATAAATGTATACATACATACAGGGTGATTCAAAATAGGTATAGTATCCCTGAAATGTCGTATTGCTGATTAAATTCTGAGACGATTTTTCTTTTATCAAAAGAAATTTTCATATATTTTATACATATATACAATGTTTAATATGTATTATTTTTAGTGTAATTATTTTTTTAGAAAAACAGGCATCGCATAATAAGCAAACAGC